AAACTTTATTTTATATAAAGTATTACTGCACATTTAAAGTCAGTCATCTCATGGTGCTTGCAATAGATACAAAAGAATATTACACAACATAACATTAAAGCATTTTATGTCAAGAAAGCAATGTAGATGAAAAAAGGAATTCTGAAAGTGTTCGTTTTTAGGCTCAACTTAAAAGAACCCGACGTGTCTGAGCCCCTGATGTCTTTTGGGCTGGAGATCCAGACCTTTGTGCTCAGCAGTACAAGACCCAGTCGCCCAAAGACTGTAGTCTGAACAGTGGAACACAGCAAACCAGAACCAACTGAGAAAAGATCACATGGAAGAAAATAAACAGATAGGATGTTGGAATGGAGAGCCATATCATGTAGAGTCTAAATGTGAACACAACGTTTTAAAATCAAAGTGTAAAGACTTCCAAGACAAGAGTGATTTGATCACTTACTGTACGTCTGACCCTATCAGGATTCTATTTGACGAATTCAGATTCTGGAGTCTTTTAACTAGTTCAGTGTAGTATTAGAGACTCCTGTGTGTCAGGTATTAGAATAATCATGCCTTGAAGTAAACAGATACATAGCATAAGGTATAGCCTGGCATTATTTTCAGATGGAAAACCAAATATTGAAAATTACATTCTAAAATTAGTCATTAAATCACATTAATTGTTTATAATTAATGTCATTATTAATTGTTTTATTATACATGCTATTATAAAATTCTTAATTTGAATTGAAATATCAGTTGATAAGGTCACATTATTGATTTTACATAAATGATGGGAGGAAGCCCCAGTCTTGCCACAATTAAGATGTAAATCTTTATGTTGCCTCAGCTTTTATGTGAGAAATACAATCGGAGAGTATTGAAACAGCAACGTACATCAGTGTCAGGTTTAGTGTGGGGCATACTAGAGGAGAATAGTTTACTGCCATATGTACATGTACTATACATTGGAATTCTTAATCACACTGATCTCTCCGGACAAACACAGTACAACAGACAACACAGCACAATGCAGACAACAGGAACAATGAGTATTTTGTGGGTACTGTAGATTTGAGTATCAAATGGTGATTCAGACCATATCATTTAAGTATTTGACCAAAACGAAATCTAAATCATGAATAGAAAAGAGCTCGGATCTGAGCTCCAGATGTAATCAACCCAACCTCAGAGCTAAAACCACCAACAGAAATAATATGTTTATGCTCAGCAAGGTAAGATTTCAATTATTAAATGGTATTATTATAGATTCCAAGTAAACCATCTGTGTAATAAGATTTCCATTATCAAGTACAGTATAGCACTAAGATCTAAGAGAATTCAGATCCAAATCAGGAGGACAAGAGCCATTTCAGTATTATGTAACTGTAAAAAGCCAGAGGGTACATAACATTTATTTATAGCGAGATGACTATTTAATTGCTATGCAAAACATAATCGAGTATCTTCACAAGAAAATTTCAATATAAACCTTGATTATTTCAGGTTGTCCAGAGCTATTATCGACTTTGCAGGCACTGGCGTTGATATTATTGTGCAACAACTTCAAAAGTGGCAGGCACTACTCAGAACTCAGAGAGGCATTTATCATCTTAAATAACAAAGGTCAAAGGACAGAGAAACAGAACCAAAGTAAAACAAAAGGAGCAACAAACAGGAAGTGGGTTTCATACTGTATGTGATCCCAATTCAGTAAGACATGAAGGAGTAGGATGTGAAAAAGAGGAGACCCAGCAAAGTCAGGTACATGCAGAGACAGTTCTGTAGAAGCATGTGAAGTGATAGGAATTTTGTGTTGGATCTTTTCAAATGTACATGTTTAAAAAAGATCCAGCATATGTTAAAAATAAATTGTTAAAAAGATTTTGCATGAATAAAGTAAGACAGATAAAGTTTTAGGGATGTTTGGCGGCTAATTAAGAGTTACACACCTATTTTGGATTATAGTGATTATTTTCAATAATATTAAAATATATATATAAATTAATATAAAAACATGTATAATTCCTGTATCAAGCCAGGCATTGTTTCTATGGTTACATTTAAACCAGAAACTCACTACTTGCCTCCAATTTATAAGAATATGCCTGCACAGAGTGCCACTAGTTAATTAATCACAGGGCATATTGAGTATAGAGTTTTTACAGCAGCCAAGGTATCAAGGAAATATAGAACAGGTGCCATTTTCCAAGTTATTCGGAACAGATTAGCACTAAAGTGAAGAAATCAGAAAACATAATGCAGTCACCTGATCACCTATAAACTTATAGACAATAAAAAGGTCAAATGAAATGGGCAAACTACAAAGTTCAAAGGATTTATTTTAAGTGCTTCAAAACATTTATTACAGTTATCCCAAGGTAGCACAGTCGATAGAGCATCCAATTTTTAATTGGAGAATCTAGGGCTCAAGCCCTTGGAGATCGGTAGTGATATGGAGTAGTGAGTTAGATTTAGGGCTCTGGCCTCTACCTGGAATGTTGGGAACTCAGATCCCTGGAGGGACAATGCTATTTTAACCTTGAACAAGGTACTAAACTCATATTTCTCCAGTAAAATGGTCAGTTCTATAAATGGACACAAATGTAAGTCACTTTGGATAAAAGCGTCAGGAAAGTAAATCAATAATAATAAGGGAAGCTAATTTTATGTCTGTATCTGCCTAATGGATAGAATCCTAACACTCAAAGAGAGACAACAGAGATACAGCTGACCTACTGTATGACACTTTTCTCTAATGTGCTGTGGTCTTAATTATTTTATTTATTCTTCTGTTTTATTCATTTTTTTCTTGAGAGACTGTTGTAATAAAAAAAATGTGACCAATAAAAGAAAAAGTCCTGTTAAGTAAAGTATATATTTTTGATTTTACAGTACAAGCAAGATAGCAAATGTACTGTACAGTATATGATCTAGGTAGCAAAAGCATGCTTTTGTAAAAATGCCAACTAGAGTTGACCATCACTGCAAGTTGTGTAGATTTTGATCAGATCAAGACCACCTGCAAATAAAAATTGAAACAAAGATTTGATGTGGTTTTTAAAGATTTCCCGTATTTATCATTTAGATGAAGACCCTTCTGAGAACATAAACCACATGAAGACACAATTACACCTCGATGTGCCTTCATCTGAATTTGTTTACACAGTCAAGACAAACAAGTACAATACAGATTTCTCTGATAATAAAATAGGAATGCAAAGATTATCTGCAAGTATGGTTTTCTGTGTTTATGTATTTCCTTTATTGTTTTTCAAGACTCAATAAATGTTTGGTAGAAGATCTCATTTTCTTTTAACTAGAAGGATTTAAATATTTTGGAAGTGCTGTACTGTATACTGTACTAAGTAAGCATTCATTTTCAATTTAATAATGAATGTTATTGGCAGGCTCAGTTGTTTGTTAGAGAACATTTTGTAAAGGAGTAATTTAGTCATGTTGCATATAAATTTAGAAACAACTTTTTGTTGCATATTTATATGTACCCTTTTGATAACTTACCATACGTGCAAAACATATGAAGAATACAAGTTCTGTGTGGAAAGTTATTTACAATACAGATACATACAGTACCTCTTGCAAGTGAACTGAAGATGTTTAGAAATACTTAAAGGAAAAAATGCCAATAGATTATAGAAATAAATTCTGTGATACAGTTCAAAACTGCATTTTGCAGTTTTGTTTACTTGTGCAGTGCCACAGAGATTTATAGTCAAATAATGTATACATATGTAGTACAACTGCATTAAGAAAATTGTAAGAAGGTGCTCTAATTGGAAAAATATAGCTTGAGGCCTAAAGCACCAAGAAAAATATGTTCAACATTGCAACATTAATAAGTTGCATGGCTGCAATCCAATGCACTTGTACAGCAAACATGTTGCTGAGTGAAGAATTCAGCAAGTAAATGTTAATCAGGTACAGTATATTGTCAATGGTGTAACACTTTTTGATACCCTGGCTTCTTTTAAGAAACAGCTGGATGAGATCTTGAGATCAGCTTACTAAAAGGGCCAGTTGGGCCAAATGGCTAGCACTGGTTTGTAACCTTTCTTATGCTCTTAAGAAATCTAAGCTACAAGACACGTAAGATTAAAAAAAGTATACTTCTACATATTTACAAAATATGTTTGGGTTGACTTTTAGAACTAAAATATTTTCAAAGCATTATTTGTACTGTAGGTCTGAAGGCTTGCAATTGAAAACCCATGTTTTGCTGAAGATAGTCTTTCACTTTCAAACTATTTATAGATGTTATTGAGGCCTTGCAATAGGCCAAGCTTATAATCATATCAACATCCATCTCTTTCCTGTGTTCTCAAACAATATGCTCTCAATACTCAAAACCTACAGCAGATTGCCTGCATGTGTTGCAGCATTCTTAATTGTGTGATGTACTGTTGTACTGTATGTTAATGTACTACTCATTCATTACTCATTCATTGGCTGCTCCCAAACACCTGCTTCCTCAGGCTGCCACAAGCTGAACTTGCACATTTCATTCAATGTTGTCTTTTTGTAAAAGATAACTTCTTAAGTATGAGTATGAGTGCTCTACATTATTCAGACCCTAATCTTGAATCTGAATTGATGATGTCAGGATGTGTGTATTTGGACATTGCTGATGGAGAACTTTGGTCTTCCAAATGTTAAATATCAGTCCCATTATCTCTTATGCTTCATTAAACATTTTGATGTTGGCTACATTTAAAGCAGCTTTTCAAGATACCTACCCCAAAAGGGGTGAGCAAACATGCTGAGTCTTGCAGATTTTCAAAGCAATCAAAACAGCTCCATTACGGAATTCTCCTGTATATCACTCTGTGGTGACCCTACAGTACTTCTATCTGGACTTTATCAAGAAGGGATCATTGCAATTCCTGTTCCCAGTTGCACACTTCTGTTAGTCATCCTGCACAAATCAGTAAATCCACATGGCACTAAATGACATTCGTCAGTGAATGTATTTCAGTTGCTCCTTTCTTTCTTTTTTTCAGTGCTGAATCAGCTGTTGGCAGAACTTGATGAATTCTTGAAGATTCTTGATCGAGAAAATCTCAGCAGCAATGCCATAGTTCAAAAATGCCTCCTCTCAGAGCTTCTGCAGTCGTATATGTCATCAAATGGTAAGTTTAAAAATATACTGTTTATACTTGATGCATTCCAGTTTTCTGACTTCCTCGCCAGGGATTTTCCATACATCTTCTGACAATTTGTCTTCTGTATTTAAGCTCTTAGAGTCCTCAGATGTATCCGTTCACCTGCAAAATTCAACAGACATGCCCACAGTCTGCAGAGCACATGTGCAGCTGTTCTTTAGTAATACACATGATATCCATCCATCCATGATCTTCCAGTTCAGGGTCACGGGGGAGCCAGAGATTATCCCAGCAAATAATTGGAGAAAGACAGGATGCACCTTTGGATGGGATGCCAATCCATTGCATGGCACACATAGACACAGACGCGTACACCACGGCCAGTTTTCCTAAAAGCCATTTAACATATCAGCTTGTCTTTAGACTATGGGTGTAAACTTGAGCACTCAGAAAAAAACCCTGCAGCCTGGGAATTGAACCCAGGGACCCATCACTGTGAGGCAGCAATACTAACCATGGCACCACCATGCCACCCGAACAGAGAGTCAGAGACTATTGTGATCATCCACTATAAACACACATAAGCAAAATATTTCACAAAATATTTGTTGTTGTTTTTTTTACAGTAGTACAACAGTTTTAGAAGAAATGTATTTAGGTGTTTTAAAAATCATAGCTTTGATATGACATCATATAAAAAGATGGTACCTTCTGCTTCCTATATTGTATTCCCGTTAGTTCACACACATCACACTTCTGTCATATACAGTACTGTATTTGATTACTTTCTACGTATATGTTATAATTGACAAATTTTTCTGACAATTTTTAGACTCCTATTATTGAAGAATGGTATCTGGCACAAGTCCTGGTCGATTCAAAATCTAGCATTAGCTACAGTAAATCATCTAACTCCAATCTTTAGAAAGTTATTTTAGATATTGATTTGTCATTGGGCCTGATGTCCAGCTAAATGATTATGTTTTTCTCTGTCGTTTTGGAATTTTGTACAGATCCACATAAAAATTACCCAAATAGAATTTCCTGACGGAGAAAAAAGACAACTCTCAATTAACAACTCAAAAGAGAATGCTAGTTCTTAAGAAATGTGTATAATGTATGTCTACTAAACTTCAGATCTGTGTATCGTGATTCATTGGAAGGAATATCTTGTTTACAGTTTGTTGTCTTAGTCCTTCACAAAGTAATTAAATGCTAAGTTTCCAAGTTTGGGTCTAAACTATAGGATTTCCTTCTCTGGCTTTCCCAGTATATCATTTTCCCAGAGTACGTTCAGTGATAGTGACGAAAACTTCCTGTAACAGCTGGAGGTTAGAAACAACATTTCTAGCCTCCAAATCCTAAATCTCAGCATGCACAACAAAAATAAATCCTTTCTTCTTTCCCTCCCAATAGAGTGTTCAATTTCGTAAAACAGTTTCAAGAAAACGCCTTTGAAATGGAAGTCTATTTAGTGATATTTGAAAACACCTACTGTACTTACAGTATTTCAAATACAAAACAAATTATCTACAATAATATAAAACATTGAATTGAATCATTCATTTTTTTCCATTAAAGGGGAAGTGCAGTGCTATTTTTTTATATTTCAGGGTTTAAAAGAATAATCACTGATGAGTGCATTTCAAACCACAATAAAACTAAAATGTACACAGTGTAAGACCTCCGATTTATATTATGAAATAGAATTTCCAGATATGCGCAATGCCACATTCTGAGATTCAGAATGAGACAGAAAGACGTGAATTGGCATATTACAGTGTAAACAAGCAGGCTTTTGAATACATCTGTAGAAATATTGCTCTCAACTTCGAGATGGTTTGCTGACAAACACTATTTGTTAACTCTGCATGCAGATTACGTTGGAACATTTCTGTGGTGAAATGTCTGCTGCACAACCTGTTTTTATTTGCTCGTACATCACATTACAGTAGTCTTAACAGTGACTAGTGAGCAGGAAGGGCCGCTCTTTGTCACAATTCTCACAAACTTTCACTCTCGCTACTGGCAAGACCAGCAGTACGTGACAATGTGGTGGCTTGCAGTACTTTTACAAAACTCACAATTTTGTGCTAAATTCAAAATTAGTAAAATTTTCTATACCATTAATGCTTTTATTTTGTCACTGACATTTAATAACCAGTCTGAGAAATTGGGACTGCAATTCCCAATTTGTAGAAAAGTAGGGAATGCTTGGTTCAGATCTGCTGAGAAGGTTGTCTCTAAAGTGCAGGTTTCCGGTTGCTCCTTCAGGCTGTGTGGATATTGTATTGCGTTCTCACTGTGCACAAGGCATTTTTATTTTCTTAAGGTAAAATGATATAACCAAGTTATATAACCTATGACGATGTTGTCTCCAGGTTGTGATGAAGAATACATCTACATGAACAAGGTGGTCATCAGTGGTATTAATCAGGAGAAACACGTGTTTGATGGAGGTATGACATGCTACCTTTTCTACTGCTGCTCTTTGTTTTACATGGCAATTGTGAGAACCTCTGGAAAGGGATTTTTCATCAGAGCAATGCACAACACATAGGACATCTGTTGATCATTTTACTAACTAATTCTTTTAAGTCTTTGATATTGTTTTGTCCCGTCTTTCGCGTGTGACGTTAAACCAAGGTCCTGACTCTCAGTGGTCATTAAAGATCCCCCGGCATTTCTCGATAAGAGTAGGAAGTTATCCCAGTGTCCGGGCCAAATTTCCCCCCTTGGCCTTTACCATGCTCCAAATTGTCCCCATGTATGATTGGCTTGCACTTGCTCAGTGATGGACTGGCGCCCCGTCCAGGTTGTACCCTGCCTTGCACTCATTGCTTGCCGGGTAGGCTCCAGCTTTCTGCAACACCATATGGTATAAAGCGGTTTGGGAAACGACATGACATGACATATTGTTTTGTAGTTGTACTGTACCAGATGAAAGTGGAGTGGGTACTTTGGGGAAAAAATAGTTTTCAGACATAAGTGTTACAGTATAACTTTTATACTGTACCATAACAAAATGTTATTTTTGTAATCATTTTACATTAGTTTCTAAGCCAACGCTCAAGTCATAAGAAGAGCTTTTTTGCATTACTGAGACCTGCACCTGTAAAATTACATTCTGAAAATCAGGAGGAATAAAAGCATTTTTGCATTGCTGTCTCACAGCGCTAGGGCCCTGCATGTATGTATTTGTGTCTGTGTGTCTGCCCTGCGATGGATATGACCTTGTATTGGAAGAAGCAGTTTGAAAATGGATAGAGAAAAGCATTTTCAAATTTAGCAGGGATCACGCTACCAAACTTGTGTGCTAATCTAATTATGAGCTAAAGTAAGTCATCAACGTCGCTCAACAACAAGTCCTGTAATGTACTAGAAGTTGATATTAAGGAAAAATATGATGAGGTTGGTGCTTCCAATTAAGCCAGTTCAAAAATGTGAGATGATGGCAAATCTGGTATGATGAACAGTCCCACAGACACCGGGATTCACTCACTATATGGATGTTTGGGATAAATAAACTAACAAACTGAAATATCCAAGTGAAGGAAAAAAAACTTAGACATTGTTCAGTGTTTGAACTGTGAAGCTGCCACTGGCTCTGTCCATGCCAAGCGCCTGCATTCTCAGCTGGTTTGTGAGCTACTAGGGAGAGTGAAATCGTGAAGAGTAACATTTCTTAAGGTGCTGTTAATCACAAGCTGGCTGTTGGCTGTGTTCTGTTAAACAGAGAAACCCTGCCACACACTTGTTGAAAATTTTTTGTCAATACCAAATATACCAAAAAAACCAAATATTTCATCATGCTTCTTGTTTCTAACATTTGTCAGCAAATGTATGTATGTGTGGTTATTTTTATGCCTGTATATTTATTTAGAGCATATACCAGCAAATACAAACTAACCGAAGTGTAGAGAGAATAGTGTGGTCTCAAGTGGAAACTGATAAATTGACAGTAATGATAGAAGAAGAATAGACTGAGAGAGTCACATTCTCTGCCTTCTCTTGTAGTGTCTCTGTTATTTACTGGCCACTTCAGCCCTCCTCTTGTTGAGCAAACGCTTGTTTGTCTGTATACTACAGTATGGCTTTTGAGATAATTTGATGATAAATTATGAAAGCTCTGCTGTTTCTTAAAGAAGTAGTCCCAAGTCTGGGACTCGATCTTTCAAATTCAAAACCTCAAAACCCACAGTAATCCTGCTGGGGGAAAAAAGAACACATTTGAAGACTGGCTTTCGTGAAATGAACAGGGCTGTTACAGACAGTTTTCTTTACATTCTTTTGTGGCTGTTGTTCGTTTGTTTTTAATGTTTATGTAGTACAAATACTTTCCTCTGTGGAGAAGGAGCTTTGTTTTTTAAACAGACATGAAAGGACAGGGGAGCTCCAGGAGGCTTCCTGTCTTCTTTGTGAGGCCTGTCGAAGTCAGTATAAATTTAATTTTCTGATACTTGAATATACCACTTTATTCTCTTCTTAATATATTTAAATACAATGTTATATTTGCTTTTTGTCATATAATTAGAAAATTAGGTGTCTTTAACATCAAAATGTTGTGAGATAAGAGACTAAACGGTTCATTAAGTTAGATTCATTAAATCGTTGTTGAAGAATAACAATGAGATTGTTAAAGTATACAATGTACACTACATTTTAATAAACGTTTGTCACAGTCACAGTGAAACAAGAGTAAAGCTGTGATGTGCAAAGACCTGTAAACCAGCTTGGCCATGGTGCATAGCTGGATAGCCACCGCGTCACTCACATACTGACTGGAATGGCATTTAAAAAAACAAAAACAAAGTGGGTTTCGTTCCATTTTCTCTTAAACTGCAGCCACAAGTTTCCTATAGCCTCAAGTTGTTTACACTAAATGGCTCTGGTAAAAGGTGTCAAACTAACCACAACGGACACATACGTATACCCGTAAGAAACCATTCTACATTTCCATCTGTTTTGTGTCAGTTACAGTGTGCTTGATTATTTTGCATTTTACTGTTGAGTTAATGTAGAATACATTTGTAGTAGTAATAATACAGTTTTATTCATGGGTATTTTTTAATAACTGAATGTCCAGTGCAATAACCAATACTGTACACGATACACATACTGTAAGAGAAACAACAAGACACAGGTACAGAAGGTACAGAACATGAATCAGTAAGAACAATTATACTTATTTTGCTTGAGTTACTGACGTACAGTATACTGACCATTACACTTCTGACTGGCCCTCACTTGGAATAGAGGCTGTAGAGGCAATGCAAACGGTGTCAGCCTCGTCTGAAGCAAATGGCAAATTCAAACAGGCAAACAGGATTTAAGAAGGTGAGTCATTTATGTCTGCTGAAGAAAGATTATGTGGTGACTTGATACAGGTGTTCAGCATCCTTAAAGGCCCTGAGCAAGTCAGGCTTTCAAATCAATAGCATTATAAGGACTGAGGTTGAAACACAAGTTTAGTTAAACACAAGTTAAACTAAGGGGCATTCACACAGAAAAAAAATATTCTCAAAGAGAGTTGCAGGGTCTGGAACAAGCTCTCTTGTCACGACTCCATGAGATGCTTTAAAATATAGATTGATTGCATTATTGGATCATTAGACTACAAAACGTAAGGTAGGCTAACGATTTACTCTCATTTCTGCTTTTTAATGTGCCTTGTCTTTTTTTATAAGGTCTCCTCCATATGTCAATGTCTGTATGCCTGCATGTTTACATTTATATACGCTTTGTCCATTCATTTTTCATTGCAATGCTGCTTTCTGCTCTCCAGATGATTCTGGTGATGCTGTAATGAATGGAAGCATGGGGAAATACATCCCTGCACCCCAGAAGAGTCTTCCAGAACTGCCTCATCCAAAATTAGTGAGTCAAAGTTTTTTCTGTTTTTTTGAGTGAAATATTTTACAATGTTTCATAATATTCTTTAAAGTTATCACCCTGCAACTCACAACTGGCAACCCACTGAAACTAAGCAGGTGTGAGCCTGGTCAGTACCTGGATGGGAGACCTCCTGGGAAAAACTAAGGTTGCTGCTGGAAGAGGTGTAAGTGGGCCCAGCAGGGGGCGCTCACCCTGCGGTCCATATGGGTCCTAATGCCCCAGTATAGTGACAGGGACACTATACTGTAAACAAGAGCCGTCCTTCGGATGAGACGTAAAACCAAGGGCCTGACTCTCTGTGGTCATTAAAAATCCCAGGGCGTTTCTCGAAACGAGTAGGGGTATAACCCCGGTTTCCTGGCCAAATTTCCCAGTGGCCCTTTCCAATCATGGCCTCCTAATAATCCCCCTCTATGAATTGGCTACATTACTCTGCTCTCCTCCCCACTGAGAGCTGATGTGTGGTGAGCGTTCTGGCACACTATGGCTGCCGTCGCATCATCCAGGTGGATGCTGCACATTGGTGGTGGTGGAGGGGAGTTCCCATTACCTGTAAAGCGCTTTGAGTGGAGTGTCCAGAAAAGCGCTATATAAGTGTAAGTAATTATTATTATAATTATTATTATTACTCTAAATTTGTTTAGAAATAACTAGGATTGTTTCCCCTGAACAACCACAAAACAGTCAAAAAAGAGTCATATGTATCTACTCGAAATACAGTATATAGTTAAGCATCCGTGTGTATAGCCCTAACAGCAGTAAGGAGTTAACTATAAAAATGCGAGTTTCATTAGAACACTTCTTGTACACATTTGTTTCATCACTGCACAGCCACATAATACTGTATTTTATCCAAGATGTGAATTTAAAGGGTGTTGTTAAGTATGGTCTGTTCCAAAGCTGGGAAAATGTTTTACAGTTATGTTACCATGGAAACCAGAAGATAAAACTGAGTAGGCAATAGAAACCAGAACAAAGCAATGTCATTTCCTTCAAAAGCATAAGTCTGCATATGTAGGTAATTTTCAGTGATTTGTTGCCATTTCATACAGATCATTTCATACTCTGACCGATACTTTAAAACTTTAATAAACTTTGTTTAAACCTCAGTGTTGCTGTATGCTTCCACTTAACTAAGAAAACCATCTATTCAAAAACGTCCTGAAAATATTAATACTAAGGAAAATAATAATCCAAATGTATATTGATATTAAAATAAGGCAAAATTATATTAAAGTATTTTTTTCATAAATGATAAAATTATAATCAAAGATGAGCAACAGTGTATAATATGTAAATTAGAAAGGATTAAATCTTTTTGCTAATGTTTAATTGATTTAAAGATTCCTTCAGATTAATACCTACAGTATGATCCTGAAAATATAATTTGTAATTAAAAAGTTGTTTAACATGACTTTGAACTTCATGCCTCTTTACAAGAATACTGGTTTTGATTTGCAACAGCTGTAATCCAGAAAATTCTGGAAGCTTTCCATTCCCAACTACATCCGTTCCAGGGCCCAGTACTGATGTCCTCAAATGACAGCAGGCACAATGGCCCTCATTTTCCAAACTCCACAGAATGTTGCATATACACTAAGAACAAGGAGACACCAACCCCCTCCCCCCTTCCTTGTTCATTATGGTCCAAAAATCTTGTTACTATTTTCAAACTTTCCTTAACTTTGTTGGGCCTCAGATTTTTGATCCGTGAAAATAAGAATGAGAGAATTTGCAAACAGCACATTTCCTTTACTTTTCATTAATAATTCATCGACTCTTCAAAAGCTGAACAGGACAGGGTGGAGTTGAAAGGTGAGTGATGGCACTCAGATCTCTTTTTGTGTGAAGGCCTGAAGTAGTTGTCTTCTTTACAGTACGGCTTTGGGGTGCATTTAGCTCAGAGAAGCCATTGAGAGCCTCAGAATTTGCTGATCAACAACATCCTGTCCTGTACTGTGCAGATACAGTATGCTAATGTATTCATCTCTATTAACAGTGCTAAAAAAACAGAGAGCATCCTGTCCATGTTTCCCAGAGGATATGGAATATACAGTACTGCATTACCAAAGCATGTTGCGTGGTGGTTGCTGTCTTTTCTGTTTTCCAATTTCCAGAAATCAGATGATATCATGGGGCTGCTTGTGTTGAGTAAACCCGAAAGGGCACATTCAGATGACATCATGCTAACAGCCAGAATCCTCCCTTGCATTCCCAAACACTCCTGTTTCCCTTGTTTTTGTTTTCATTAACTCAAGATACTGTTGATGCTGTGAAAATGCTTAAGAGCAGAATGGTGTTTAGCTTCATGCTCCCTGTGTTGTAGAAAACTGCATTTTGTCGCAGATTTATTTTAAGAAAGCATAACATAATACGACTTTCAAAAGTGACTTATCCAATTCAGGGTCAATTTTCCCAGAGGCCAATAAGCCTACAAATATGTCCTTGTGCTCTTGTTTCCTTCCAGATTAGCTGAAGGAGACCCATGCGAACACATGGAGAACATACTGTACAAATTCCGAATAGATAGCACCCCAGGAATTGAACCCAGGGCCCCAGCGGTGTGAGGCACCAATGTTAACCACTGTGCTGCCCTTTAAAGAAATAATTTTCATAGTATTATCTATATCTTCTGGAAGTCTAATAAACATTCATTAATGCTAGTGAGTTGTAGTAAAGATATCAGGTCAGTCAAATAAACCCAGATGTGGTATGCCAGTAGTTTTAAATAACATTATTCTATAAAAAATGCTCGGGCTGCCACCTTTTTTTTGTAGATGAGGTTGTCATATCACAAAGTGCTGTTGGGTACTGTACCATGAAATGTTACTTTGGAACTAATAATATACAGTAAAATATGAATATTCTGAATTTCTCCTATTCAAGTGAAACTTTTAGTGACCACTTTTTCACATTCGGAGTCCAGTAAGCTGATTTGGTAGTAGGAGAATAAATGCAGCCACTCACGTGCACATCTTCATTTCACAGATCTACTGTACCTCACCCAGCCTGCAGTGGTCTCTGTAGTAACTCTCTGTGGCACAGTTCGGTTAGCAAAGAGCTAACATGTTTATGTGGAAATACATTATTTGTGTACACTAAACTTACTTTGTTATTACCTGCTATAATAAACTTTATTGTTGTCCACAAATGCTTCATTTATAATAATAAATGCAAGCTGTAAAGAGTAAAGAAAATGTGCTCTACTGATAATGAAAAAATAAGCTACAGTATAATATCATAACAGTGATCTAATATGTTTGCACATGCAGTGAAGGGAATTACAGTACAATGGTTTTTCAAACTTCCAGTATTAAATTTCATTACAGATATAATTTTGTATAGTATTTTCTACCAGTGAATACTAACATTATTTCTGAAATAGTTATGTTACAGCAGAAAGTATGGAAATACATGTTTCACAAAGCCACAGAACCTTATCGTATTTTTCCTAAAAGGTATTAAGTTTCAGATTTGCAAATTCACCATTTGCAGAGACTTCAGGGTGCCTAACCCTTTCGAATACAGAGGTTTTACTGTACCTGCTTTTTTGCATATTGTTTGAAATTATGCATACACTTAACATTCCAGTCAGTACCGGGTACAGTACATGAAGTATCTTTGAAACAATTTATTTTAACATGAGTCATAACATAACAGAGTTATTTTACAGCATCATAATCGACAGTATGATCATTGTCAGGATCGTGTTTTCAACCTGGCTGTAGAATCATCAAATTACATGATAATGTAATACGTTTACAGAATAATAGCTGACAACACAGTAACCTTGCTCACCAGCAGATCACTGAATGTACAGCATGCCCATTAACATTTTTCTGCTCCAACAGCCAAATTCAAAAACCTGTTATTTTTAAAAATAAACTGTCCTCTGTGTTTATCATTTGTTTACACACTGCACCATGTTATTATTTACTGGTGTGAAAAATATACATCCATCCATTTTCTAACAACTTCTTCCATTTCAGGGTCGCAGGGGAGCTGGAGCTTATCCAGTAAAGCAACAGGCACAAGGCAGGGTAAACCCTGGATGGAACACCAATCCATCTTAGGGCACAAACACAGACATGCAGAAACTCACACCTAGAGCCAAATTTCCTGTGAGAGGAAATCTGAGCCCTCAGGGAAAAGCATATGAACATGTGGAGAACATGCAAGCTCACCACACATAGAACCTCAGGTCTGGAATTGAACACAGAGCCCCAACGCTGTGATGCAGCAATAACAACTGGCAACCGACTGCAGCTAAGCAGGTGGCAGGTGTGAGCCTGGCCAGTACCTGGGTGGGCGACTTCCTGGGAAAGCTAAGGTTGCAATGTTAGGATTTGAATCCTAATATTTGAGTACACACCACAGCTCAAACCTGTTTTTCTTCTGTTTGATTACGCAGATATTCTGACAAGAACAAAGGTCGTTCACTTAGGGTGGCTCTGATCGTGTGTTAGGTTGGCAAGGGTGAAATTAGCGACCTATCAAAAAAGTTGTCATTTCAAAAGAAATTAGACATTGAGTGTGAGATCTGGTGTCATTAAATTAGAATTCCACATCTTAAAATGTTGGCTTTTTATTTATTCACTGTTAGTGCTTCTGTTCACATTGCATCACATTTAAATGTTGAGAAATTACACTAACCATACACAGTAGCCCTGTGAACTTATTTAACCAAAGCAGAATCCTGTTCAGACTGCAGGAAATAAAAAAAAATGTATGTGTCAGTACTTTAGAAGAATTTAACATACGGTGTGATTATTTTGTGCATTAAGTAGACGACCTTACCATTATGTGGACAGTATTTTCCAAAACCAGTGGATTTTGAGGTTGTGGTCTGTCAGTTTGCACTAATTCCTTTGGTCTTATCATTCCGCATGAGTGGTTTGTAATTTAGCTTACCAGTCTATACTTTTTTCCTTGCTATGCGAGATTGATAAGCAAAACAGTTAGCATAAAACCAAGCAATGGTT